TTACCACCTTTTTTGCTGCTGACCGGCCTGCGTTTGCTCAGACACAATTGATAAGGCTTCAAATTTGATTACGCAGTTTAGTTTGTTGTTTGGGGGCACGGTTTAAAATAGAGAATGCCTTCAAATTTTTAATCTTGGACAATTTTTGTTTGTGTCCAAAATAGTGACGGGCTTGACTTTATCATCTATATGTATCTTTAGTTACTTAAAATGTCCAAAGGCTAGACGACTCTTTCAAATGCGACCCACATTCGAGGCTATTTTGATCATTATCTTTTCACTGTTATTATGGCCAGAACTCATTGAAAATGTGTTAAAAGTGTATAATGAGGTAGTAGAAAAGAATGTAGTAGGCAGCAGGAAGTATGTTTGAGGCCATAAACTTGTTCTTGCTCATCATTAATATCAGATCTGATTAGTCATATTAGTCGGGCTGTCTGTTGATCTCAGAGATTTAAAGTCCTAGAGATAAGGGCATACGAAAAGAAGTCTTTAAAAGAAGGTTTTTAAACTTGTTTTTCTTCAGATTTTTATAAATTTTTACTCTTTTTTCCCAAAGGCAATCGCAATCGGGTTTCCATACTCTTACTTTATATTTACTGTCTATTCCATATAATACATATGCATATTAAGCACTGTATACTTTAAGCAAGTACCTAAGAACCTAACATTTCTAATTCATTATCTGCGCAGTTTGTCCATTGATTTCCCAATGTCCACTGAAAAATCTTATCAAGGCTTGTTTCTGTTCAATCGTTTGATTTTCTATGTTTTGAGTGGTGGCGACAAGCAACGATTGCTAAATCAGCTATTCAATATTAGTATAGCCTACAAACATTATCAGTATATACAATATATATAATATATATATATATATATGTATTGTGTATATTCAAGTTTGAATACAAAAAATTTAAATTAATCATTGAGAAATGGCTGACAAGTGGCGCCTAGTCTTTGTTTTGAGTCGATTTCTTGCAGAATGAGATTAAAGATGTTTATACGAAGTACAATTTCGACGAGATTAGCTCAAGAAATGGGAACGTGTGCGTAGGGGTACTCACTATATATATATATATATATATATATACAACATAATAATATGAATATGAATTGTGATAGTCACACTTGAGTCAAAGTGCTGCTTATCGCAACTGGTAATAGTTATATTTACATTTAAATGAGATAGCTTGGAGTAATTGACAAAAAATAACAAGATTTTGATAGGACAACATATTTTTTAATGCGCAAAAAATAATAGGTGACGTCATTATCTTGTTTGTCGCAATTGATTGATAAGCAGCAGGCAGAAGATTAAATATGTATGTATATATATATATATATACATATATATATGTGAATAAAGGAAGCATTGTTTAAGGAAGCTAATGTCTGAGTTACGCTCACATGAAGGGCGTGTCTTTGTTTCTTATTGTTCCTGATAATATATACATATGTATATTTAATCTGACCAGTCGTAAAATAAAGAAATATTTTCGAAATGAGTTTTCAATGAACGCATAAAATATTTATGAAGAGAACTCATACATAATAAGAAACAGACTCGCAATATGGCCACATAAATTATACATTCCGACATATCCTCATTCTTTAGATATAGCATATGTCTAGAGTATTTATACCTCCAATACTTCAGCCTTTGTTCTTAACTGCGAATTGCCATTTGATAATCTAATCAGAGCAGCTTATCGGCCTATCAGCTTATCAAATTTGAGTTGCTTATTTGCCACGCTCTTTTTTCACCACCCACAAATCTATGCAGATAAAAAACACAATGTTTTTTACTATAAATTTTTTGTCGGGGTTATCTACAAAGTTGAACTCAAAAGCAATGGAGAGAAAAATCGCATTGAATATAATTTATATTGTTTCTGCACCTGTGAGCGCATTTCTATTTTAAGACTCTACGCAGGCACACCCCTACTATCAAGCACACATTAGTGTAGCTCCCACTCGCAACTCCACTCCGATATATATTTATACGAAAAATCAAATAAATGATGCATAATTCGATGACTTTCACTTTCAAGCTGTGTTCGCCTTTAATGCCCCAATGTATAATTATAATTATTACTATTCAAAGTGATGTGTTTTTTTTCGCCATATCATTGGCACAACAAAGTGTACTTGAAGTGTGTGTGTGTGTGATTGTGTGTGTACTTTATTGTGATTATTATTATTATTATTTTTATTATTTTTGCTTTGCGATGCTTATTGCGGCAAACAATTTATGGCATTTTTCGAGTGTCGCCGGCGCGATAAACAGCACACACACACACACAGACACACACTCGCACACACACTAAAGCAAATGTCTGCCATTTTGTAAACAACTGCGCCCCAAAACTGATAAGCAAAAGCAGCGGCTCATAAAATGACATAAAACACATACCAGGCGAAGTAAAAATATTTTCAAATGTGTTGAAATTTTTGTCTGCTTTTTTGTATATATTTTTAAATTCTGTAGCCAAGGTCAAAAGCAAAAGCAGCTCAAATCAATCCTGTTGCAGTAAGAAAAAGTGAACAAAAAATGAGAAAATTACTTTCACATAGAGAGAGAGAGAGAGAGAGAAGAGAGAGAAGAAACTTCTCGAGTAGAAAGGCAAACAGAATTCAGCTTTGCTTGTTTTTCTTCTCATTTTTTGTTTTTCTTCTTTCGATTTTGTTTGTTTGTGGTTTTGTTTTGGCCTGAAGAAAGTGCAGACAACGTACAAACTGGCAATTGAATTGACCCAATTGACCAACAATGGTCAACGTCATCGTTTTCTTCTTCTTCAGCTTCTACTCGCCGCACTTCTGCTGCTGATGCTGATGCGGCTGCTGCTTGCTACGTTGTAGATTTGATTTCAAAAGGAAAAGTTGATTGACTTTAACGAGCAACCAACCAGCTGAAACTGCATGCAACAAGTACCCCAATCCAAGAACCCCAATCAAAAACCAAACCAAGACACAGATCCGTCATCGAAAAAAATAAAAATAAGAAAAACAAAACCTGTGCATAAATGTTGCCTGTGAGAAACTGGTGATAAAAGATATATGCACTTTATGCACATTCAATTGAATCAAAAAGAGAGGGAGAAAGAGAGAGTTAACAAGAGAGAGTTAGAGTGTGAGAGAGAGAGTTCTTTACGCTTAATTTTGATTGATTTTCGACTGCCTCAAAGAGTACCATAATAATAGTTTTTAAGTACTTTTTAAGTATGTCAAATGGGAAATTGTCAAAGCTGTGAAACGCTGTTCAAATAGACAACATCAGCATTAGTATTAATTGCAGTTGTTAGTTGATAGAAAAAATAAATTCAAAATATATTTTAAAGAGGATTCGATGTTGTAGCTAATATTTTTAGTGCATAGAAGATCTGTTTGTCGATGAAGATAAAAGGGATCTAGGCTAAAAGAGACATGCTGAGTAAATGTGCAGCTGCTGGCAAAAAACAGTTGCCATAGCCAAATAAATAATTATTAATCACATTTTAAGGCATTGATTCATGAGTTTTACTCAAGAAATGAAACTGATCTGAACTTCTCCTCTATTTAAAATTCTTTCTTGTCTTTTTCGATGTTCTGAGTCTAGTGAATGCGACTGCTTGTCTTAGAATAGAATAAACTTGAATATATTATTATTTTTATTTTATATCGATTGTAATTCAAATTCTTTGCACTATAAATATAGAAATTCGATAAGCACTTGTTGGTTTTTATTCAATACTAATTCAATTAAACTCTTTTTGCTTTTACAAAGACCTTTATCAGAGTCCACGTCACAAAGCAATACATATTCTTTTTTACAATCAATTTTCGACTGCCTACTTTGATAACCATATACAATTTATTGTATTATTTCATTTATTATTTAAGTATTTTCTAAGTATGCCAAAGCCAGAGCAAGTATCTTTATCTTTATGGCAGCTAAGCAACAAAGTCAAGCCTTTTTTGCTATTAGAAAGACCTTTGGCGAAGTCAACGTCACAAAAGGATGCCCTTCTGCAGTGTATTATGCCCGAGCACCTCATAATCTACTTATATAATCGAATTTCAACTCAATAGAATTCTGCTCTTGCATAAGTGCTTTCAGAGTGTCGTTTGTTTTTTGTCGTTGTTTTTGTCAAGGTTTCTCTTTGCTTGCTTGTGATTGAATGTTTGCTCAATGTAAAAGCGTCCAAGAATAGCAGCAGCATCACAATCAAGGCTATATACATATATATTTATATCGACACTATATATACATACAGACAGACAGACATATCTGAGAGTGGGTGCAAAATAAAGCTGACGAGTTCAGAGCTCAATCACAAGCCGCCCACGGCGAGAAGAGTGAGAAGAGCAGCTGCCTGCCATCATCAACATGACAAGAATAATTGTTGATGCGTGGAGGGGGGAGTGAAGGGGTACTTCCAAAGATAACAAACACAGCAAATAATCAGAAACAATTGTCCACTCTTGGGGTTTTTTTAATTGAGTCTAAAAATAGCTGCGATATTATGTGCACAAAAGCATAAAAAACAGAGCGAAAAAAGCATCGGAAACATCGAAACTCAATTGAACTAAATTTGCAGACAATAACAGAAGAGGGACGAAGGGGGGACAAGTGGGGATCTCACTTGAAGTGGGGGGCAAAAGACTTCAAGTGTTGAACAGTGTCTCAATTGATTTTCTGGGTTTCAAGTGAGTAGAGTCGCCGTTAAGTGGAAATAAACCAAAAGATTTTCGATCTGGTTTTTTTTATATCTTCTTTTATGGTTAAACTGTTAAACGATCTGTAATTTTGAGCATTATTCATGGCCAAAACTAAGCGACAACAAATTTGATAGACATTTGAATATTTTTTAAGAAAAATCCAAAAACATACTCAAAATTTACGCTTTTCATTTGCTTATCAGCAGACACTCAGTAAGAACTTTATATATTATATATATATTAATTAAAGACAAGGATTTACGATCTTTTTATAGCACATTTTATGACGAAATTCAACTTACCATTGCCTGTTCGATTTTGTTGTCAATCGCAACTGCACTCGTTCCAGATGCACTGTAAAAAACAAGTATATGTTTGATTATAATCGAGTTGAACTTTATAGAATACATACAATTATTTGATGTATAAATAGAAAATGTAAAAGAATATTTATTAATTTTACAAATAGCTTAATCAAGCTTGATGAAGTATAAGATTTATATGAATGAAGTTTATGTAAATTATGATTATAATGATTTGTTAGGTATATGATTGATCAAAAGTTATGATAGTTATTTATAGTTGTTCTATATATATTTAGCATCTACTTTAAGCCCACTTGGAGGCTAGTTTTGTGCCAGTTTTTATTTGCATATTTTTAACCAACTCATCAAATTATTTTTAATTTTCCCAGCTAACTTCAAATCAACGTCATCAATTAAAAACACATCATTTGATTTGGAATGCAGGGGTTTACTTAACATTTTGACAGTTTTATCCGCAGGCAAAAATTAAAAAAATTGCGGTTTATTTCATTTGACCCTGTCCGGATTGAGGTCAATAAAATATATAATAAAACTTCCTACATGCAAAATGCTAAAATACAAAAAACTTTTGGCACAGTCGGAAAAATAAAAGTGAGCCCCATTAAAACGCAATGTCAAATGCGCAATTAAATTGTCAGTTTTTCGCATCAAAAAAAAAAAATTAAACCCAAAAAAAAACTTAAAAAAAACCCGAGTTTGAACATCAAATTTTGTTGGCGCAACTTTGCCACACGCATATCAGATATAAAACTAACAAGTCTTGAGATAATTGGTTTGGCTCATTAAAATGATTGAATGATCATTCATTGCCACGCCTCCCTACACATACCTCTGCCCCTCCGCCCGCACCCTCCCCCCTTCCACTGTTTGCAACACGGTCTATCAATTTCGAATTTCAAATGGTTTAAACATGTCAGTGGAGCAGCTTGAAATAAATACACACACCGATCGCAGCCAACTATGTATTTCCTTAATTATTGAGTGTTTTCTGTGTTTTTTTCTTTTCAAACAAATTGCAAATTAATTATGCAACACTGGCTAGAAAAACCATAAAAAACAAACACCAACTCAACGAACTGTGTTCGAAATTACATAAAACTTGAATCAGTTACACAGCTCGACTTAAATACAAAAACCTGAAAGCATTTTGGGCACAAACTCTCAAGTCGCAGTTCTCACCTTGAGCAAATGTTTTGGGCTGAAAAAAATAAAAATCCGACAACTGGTTTTTCTTCTCAATTCACTAACGAAAAAATAAAGAAACAAATAAGCAAACAAAAACCTTTCAAGGACTTTTCAAAGCGATAATCGTAAAACATATTCTTGATTATAAACGAAATGATTAGCATGAGTACAGTGAACGAAAAACCGGGCGAGTTCTATAAAAACGGAAAGTCAACTGAATTTGGAACTGTACAATCAGTCGCAGATACACAAATTGGGCGTGGCAGTTGCAAGGTTTTCGTATTTTATGTGTTGCGGGCGGGGTGCCACGCAATTCTCAATTATAGAAATGGCCATATACTTTTTTAATGTGTCATCCAGTAAGATGCCTTTGAACTGATAGCAGCGATTTCGATGAGTCAATCATACAATTTTTATGGTTCGCTTAGCAACTGTGTAACTACTATTTTTGGCCAAGTCAAAGTTGACCACATTCCAACAATTGATAGCAATGCAGGCAATGACTCAGTTAAAAACTTTTGCACAAATGAATGAAAGGCGTCGGGAATACCCCAAAAATATCAATGATTTCAGTTGGGAATGGCAAACGGTTTTTTTATTTATTCAAAATATAGTAAAAATACTTGAAGAAAATAAATAAGAATGCTGCAGTCGAGTGAGCTCGATTTAATTAATTGATTGATTTGCTGATGCACATTCCAAAGTCGTTTGTAACTTTAAAAATAAGTTAATTATTTTATTTATGAGCGATGAGCGAGTGAAAATAAAAAACAACAACAACAATAAAAACATATCAGCACTGTTCGCACAAAACAACAAAAGAAAGAAGAAAAATATAATAAATTTATATGTTTGTTATTTAAATGGATGGATTTGCGCGGCTCGCAAAATAATTAAAGTCGAGTCGAGTGCGACAATAAAAATGCGGCTTGTCTGAGCCGACCGACCGACAATCTGATGATATTTATATATATTTTATAGTGCTCCTCTTTCTTCCTTCGTCATTTTTAATGGGCCATAAAGCCGAGTTGAGCCGGGCCGAGCCGAGTCACGAGACGAGACAAGGACGCTGTGCGAAAGTTTCTTAACCGTCTGTCCTTGGTAAAAGCAACGGATGCAGCAAGGAATGTCGCTACGCCCTCTCCCCGCCTCTCTCTCCAGCCCTATCTCCTTCACTCGTCTATCATCAGACTGCCCCGAAAAGTAAGTGGGCAAAGAATGAAAGAAGAGAAAACAAGAATGAACGCTTATCTTTTGGGCATGCCGATGCTTACATACCCTCCACTTCCCTCCCCGGCAGATAGGTGCCAAATAGCGGATATCTATAGTTCACTATAAATTTAAAAAACCCATCGATGATTGCTTGATTTGTTGACCAAATGTGAGAAGCATAATAAAAAGCATAACTAGTAAATTGGCTTGGGAAAACTTGGTAAGCAAATCATTTAAAATACGATTGTTCCCAATGCAACTTGACGATATAGTAGTCCGATCTAACTGATTTTTTATTTATATGTGAGCAGCATAATAATACGCACATTTCGTTTTTCATTCAAAATCTCATCCAGTGACCTATTTTGCCTATAGCTATATGATATAGTAATTCGATGAGGCCACGACAAAGGAACTATCATCAAGGTAAAAGATGCATATATTCCAAGTAACATCAAGTCAATTTTTAAACAGATGGGACACATGGGTATATCGATTCGTCTCTTATACTGACCAAGTATATATATACTATAGACTACAAACTTTACATCGTATTTATGATACTCTCCCAAAAGGGTAGACAAAAAGTAAAAGTCGCAAGCTGGGCGACTCCAAGTTGAGTGCAATGCCTCATGTGGCGTGACTTTTGTTCTCTTTCTTTCAGTTAATACCAATAAAATATATATACATATATAAATATATATATTGCATATATATTTTTGCCAATGTCATTGCGGACAACGGTCAATGGCTTTGTAAGGCGCATTTGATAAAAACAAGCCACAAAAAGTCCAACGAAATGAAACGATATAAATAATTACCCAATAACTAAGACAAATACACATTTTAATATTTAACGTTCGAAATAAGTATTATAAAATGCTGCACAGAACTTTTGTTAAACAGTTATGTCAACAATTAGACGAAGGGGATGACCCTAATGATATTATTATTGTCTCTTTTTTAGCTAAAGCAATAATTATCAATTAATTAGTCGTCTTAATTAAGTATTATAAAATCTCCAACTATCTCTAAAGATTTTCAATAATGTATTAACGTTAAGTGGGATATCGCCCAAAATATCTTAAAGATTAGTCTTTCATTTCTATGTTTATGTATTTAATTTTTTTTTCGTAGTTTGCAGACTTTTAGTATTTAATACAAAAATATATCAATAAGTCCATCTAATCAATATTCTCAAAATTTCAAACATTAGCTGAAGCTCAGCACAGAGCAAGTTAATTTAAATATTATTTATATGTTTGAAGTCGAAGCACAAGCCTAAGTAAATAGAATGTAGAATCGCAATCAAATCAATTTGAACACATTGCTAATCTATAATCTATAATCCCTGAACTAACAGACCTCCACCCCAATTATTGAACGTGAGCTCAGCTCAGATTAGATCATTAGATCGTCAGATCGTTGGCACGAGAACAGCATTAGGGGTGCCTGATCATGATCAGCAACATCATTATCATCAACATGCGAATAATAATTAAAACCGGTTCGCAGCTGTTTTGCTGACGTCACAAGCGCCAAATAGTCAAAGACACAAGACACAAGCCAAACAAAAGTGAGTAAGAAGCCAAATAAAGACGAAAGCACGAAATGAAAAATAGGAAAGACGAAAACAAACAAAAAAAACAGTGCAAAGTTTATTAAAGTTCAAGCGTCGCCCCTACAAACAACAATGATGTCATTTTTTATTACTTTATATTTTATTTCGTTTGTTTTTTTTTTTTTATCGTATTTCTACTTTTTTGTTTTTCAATTTCAATTTAATTTAATTTGATTTTAAGCACAAACAAATCATGTTTTTGTTGTTGGAGCACGTTTGGTTGCCGCCTGCAAGCTTAACTTGCCAAAATCACGTGATCAACACTGTTTTGTATCGCTTTGCAACACAATAAATATGTGTGTCAAAGAGAATACACAAGTATCGCAGTTACGAGGCCGAAACCTGAATACTCTGCGCAGACAGAAACTCATTAATTGATAGGACTTGTTTATACACTGACCTGGACCTGAACCTGAATTACAAAAGGGAAAAATGAATATAGTGAAGAAGAAAGCACCTTAGACCCCACATAAGATTTATATATATTCTTGATCAGCATCAAAAGCTGAATCGATTTATCCATATCTGTCCGTTACTCTGCGTGGAAAAAACGAATGATTATATACCGTGACATATTATTGATCGGTTGTTTTTGTGACTTTATCAAGATTGGATAAGGCAGACATAAGTAAACATATTTCCTTATCTAACATATGAATATGAACAGTTCTACTACGTATTTAACTGCTGAATGCCCTGGAACGAGCTCTCGAAACTAGAGCATTTGAACTTGTTTTCTCTTTGACGTTTTCCTTTGTTAATTATACTTTTGTGTGTTGTTATTTACAATATATGATTAGGTTTTTATACTTTTTATAGTCCACTCAATATTTTTATAGTGCCGGTTCTTATAATATATATTACGCATTAAATATTAAATTTTTATAGGACAATAAAGAGAACACAACAGCAGCAGCACTATTGTTACATAACTTTAGGTTCTGTTTAAACAAGTGTTGCATAGCTCAATAAACAGTTACAAGGCACTATATACACCTCCCCCCTCTCTC